TTTAGAGCGGCATGAACTTCCTTGAAGACCTTCAGAGAGACGTGGAGGTCAAAGACAGACTCATACTGCAGTCATTAGTGGCCTTGACTGACCTGGTGTCCGGAAGAGAACATGTGATTGTCCCTCCAGAACAGGTTCTTCAACTTTCATGGAAATATCAAATAAAAATGCATTAAAGAGGAGTTATTATCGTGTTTCCGACTCTCCTAGAACAGGTTCTCCTGCTTGAATGTTGATTATTCCCCTTATATTCTCCATTGTTGCGGCTCCTCTCTTCCCAGTCTGTCAGTAACGCTCTGTTTACTTCCTGTCTCTATGAAGCCCCTCCTTCTGAAAAGCACACTGTGTTGTGATTGGTCGAGCGCGTCGAGTGTGTTTGAGAAATGTCCCGCCCCTTTCCATAACTGCCAGTTTAACACACTACTAACTTACCCAGGCCCCGCCCCTTTATTCTGCGCATTAATTATTATAATGAGGAATATTGTGATGTGTTCAAACTCAGGATACAATGGAGGCGTTTCAGAAATACTGACACTCATATAGAGAAGAACTCTCTTTATCTGTGCCGTAGGAAGGGCTTGTTTCTCTGTGGGATGATGATGAAGATGAGGATGCTGGAGATGAAGAGCCTGATGTCCTGGATGATAGGATAGACACTGAGTGTGCTGAAGCTCATCTGGAAGTGGACCGAGTTTGGCAGAGAGTCTTTGGACAGAGTTTGATCGTCGGTGTCGTCCTGAAACCCACGAATAACACGTATGTCTCTCCTGTAACACTGCAGTCTTTAGAAATCAGTCCTAAGATTAATAATCTAAAGGATGAATCACATTTAATCTTTTTTTATTTGCACTACTTTATAAAAGTTTGGGGTTGGTACGATTTCTTTTACTGTTTTTGGAAGTCTCTCTTCGTCTCACCAAAGCTGCATTTACTTGATCAAAAATACAGTAAAATTGTGAAATATTATTCCAATGTAAATCATCTGTTTTCTATGTGAATATATAGTAAAGTGTAATTTATTCCTGCAATCAAAGCTGAATTTAATTGATCTAAAATACAGTAAAAATTTAGACATTTTATTCCAACGTAAAATGACTGTTTTCTATGTGAATATATAGTAGATTGTAGTTTATTCTTGTGATCAAAGCTGAATTTATTTGATCTAAAATACACTAAAAATTTAGAAATTTTATTCCAATGTAAAATTGTTGTTTTCTATGTGAATATATAGTGAAGTGTAATTTATTCCTGTGATCAAAGCTGAATTTATTTGATTAAAAATACATTTTCTATGTGAATATATAGTGAATTGTAATTTATTCTTGTGATCAAAGCTGAATTTATTTGATCTAAAATACAGTAAAAATTTAGAAATTTTATTCCAATGTAAAACAGCTGTTCTCTATGTGAATATATAGTAAAGTGAAATTTTTTCCTGTGATCAAATCTGAATTTATTTGATCAAAAATACAGTAAAAATTAAATCAGCTTTTAAAATCAGATCCTTTAAAATCATTCTAATATGCCGATAATCTGATAAATTGATGATTTGTGGATAAAATCATCAATATCAAGACATGTAAACCAGGTTTGCCTCTTCCTGCAGGTCAGTAATGAATATGAGTGTTTCAGTCGTGGATTCTGGATCTGCTCTCGTGATAAACACCAAGATCCTGCCGTTCCCGGAGTCAGATGTGTGTGTGGCTCTCGGCCCGTTTGATGAGGAGAAGAACATCAGACGCTCGGATCGTCCCGCATCAACACTTGCTCTGGTCGCCGTCACTGATTTGGCTCCTTTATTAACCTCAGGCTGCGTCAAATGTCCCATCATGCTCCACTACAGCACCAGAGAATCATCCGGGTCTTCTCGGGTTTCTCAGTTCTGCGGGAAAATCTCAGTGGATCTCAAAGATATTTCCATGGGGAAGTTTCATCTGCGTCTGCTACAGGACAGCAAACTCAACACAGGTCAGGAGTTCACTTCAGACATCAATGGGGTCCAACGGGTCGAAGGTCAGATGTGAGTTTCAAAGTCTCGACACGATCCAGCCGAGGAATAAGAGTCTGATCTAGACAAACAAAACACACATTTATATACTTTAACCACTAATGCTGGTCTTGCTCTCGCTGTGATGCGACACACATTACGTGGTCAGGGTGAAAGGTCAAGCGGGACGTAGGCGTAAGAACAGATCTAGTGTTTACAAAGCGAACATGCAAAGACTGAGACAAACGCCATTTACTAAATAGATAAAAATAAAACGTGAAACAACGATGTTAGACGATTTTGAAATGAAAGTTTTGACCTTTCACCCTGATCTCGTAATGTGTGTCGCATCACAGCGAGAGCAAGACCAGCATTAGTGGTTAAAGTATATAAATGTGTGTTTTGTTGTAAAGATCAGACTCTTATTCCTCGGCTGGATCGTGTCGAGACTTTGAAACTCACATCTGACCTTCGACCCCTTTGGATCCCATTGAAGTCCATTATATGGAGAAACCCTTGAGTGTGTTCCTCAAAAACCTTAAAACTTCTCCACAGAGGGACTTTAAATCTGATTTGAGTGTGTGTGTGTGTGTGTGTGTGTGTGTGTGTTCAGACGAGGCCAGAGAAGACCTGCTCAGTCTGACTGCGCTGTTGGACTCCTGGTTGTTCCTCATCGAGTGTCCGGATCACACGCTCGCGGATGTTCAGGGGTTTATTCACGAGTCTCTGTATGTTTCGGTGCTGGACGTCGACCCGCGGATCATCGCTGACCCCACTGACCTCAGACTCTTCCACTGGGACCAGAGGTCCCCATTCCAGGCGCTGTTGAGCATTCAGTGCATGTAATGACTCACACACACAATAGCGTGCACTTGCTGCGAGACTCCGCCCACATGCTGTTCTGATTGGCTGTGGGTTTTGATTGATTTGTGGACAGACAAATGATTTGCGCTGTATGACTCCACAGGGACGACCTGTGTTTGCTGCAGTTCCTGCACTCGCTGTGTGACTTCCTGCCTGCGTCGCATCATATCCTGCTTCTGGAGACCCGGAGGTCACGCGGACCCGGGCCGGATCTGGGCCGGACTCTGGAGACGGAGATCAACGCTATGATACAGGACCTGTCGTCCGTGCTCCAGTGCGGAGAGAGAGGGATGACGGGACACGAGGAATCCAACACCGAATCCTCAGAGCCGCTCCAGAGACGGAGGGAGGCGTGGCTTAGGGAACGGGGGCGGAGCCACACGAGGCTCCGCTCCCTAGTGGATGGCTCCGCCTACAGCAGACTCGTGGAGAAGATGATTGACAGGCAGCTGGATGCTGATGAAGTCGCTCTGATGGAAGCGGCTCGTCTGTAGATGAAGGTGAACGCAAACTTTTGAAATAGATAATTGTTGATAAGAGCATTAAAATTTGAAAAAATAATGGGATAAAATGAATTCAAGAGACATTTAGAATAGAAAAAAATGTGCAATTAATTGCGATTAATCGCGAGTTAACTATGACATTCATGTGATTAATCGCGAGTTAACTATGACATTCATGTGATTAATCGCGAGTTAACTATGACATTAATACGATTAATCGCGAGTTAACTATGACATTCATGCGATTAATCGCGAGTTAACTATGACATTCATGCGATTAATCGCGAGTTAACTGTGACATTAATGCGATTAATCGCGAGTTAACTATGACATTAATGCGATTAATCGCGAGTTAACTATGACATTAATGCGATTAATCGCGAGTTAACTGTGACATTCATGCGATTAATCGCGAGTTAACTGTGACATTAATGCGATTAATCGCGAGTTAACTGTGACATTAATGCGATTAATCTCGAGTTAACTGTGACATTAATGCGATTAATCGCAAGTTAACTATGACATTAATACGATTAATCGCGAGTTAACTATGACATTAATGCGATTAATCTCGAGTTAACTGTGACATTAATGCGATTAATCGCGAGTTAACTATGACATTAATGCGATTAATCTCGAGTTAACTGTGACATTAATGCGATTAATCGCAAGTTAACTATGACATTAATGCGATTAATCTCGAGTTAACTGTGACATTAATGCGATTAATCGCGAGTTAACTATGACATTAATGCGATTAATCTCGAGTTAACTGTGACATTAATGCGATTAATCGCGAGTTAACTGTGACATTCATGCGATTAATCGCGAGTTAACTGTGACATTAATGCGATTAATCGCGAGTTAACTATGACATTAATGCGATTAATCTCGAGTTAACTGTGACATTAATGCGATTAATCGCAAGTTAACTGTGACATTAATGCGATTAATCGCGAGTTAACTATGACATTAATGCGATTAATCGCGAGTTAACTATGACATTAATGCGATTAATCTCGAGTTAACTGTGACATTAATGCGATTAATCGCGATTAAATATTATTATCGTTTGACAGCACTAAAAATAACCCATGTTACTTTGCATTTTCTCTAGGAAGGAAATGAAATGCTGAGGCGGTTACTCTCGGTGTGTTTTAGCTCGAGTCTTCATGCCTCTTCAGACTCTCCGGGGCTCCACGGCTCGAACACTTCTGACACTTCCACAGAACACACACGACCCGTCGCTCCTGCTGGCAGACACGTGATGAAACATGTTCAGATCATCCATATCTGTCTGTCCGTCACCTGCTGGAAATATTCCTGTTTAATGTTCACAATAAATAGTTGGATGCAAAAGCTTCTTGTTTTGAAGATTGCATTGAACACCTTATACATGTATTCAAAGTTGTAAAGAAAGCAAATATTATTGGACTGTTTTACCAAAATATACTCTTTTATTCTTTCTACTTCAAGATGTCTCATTTTATTCAGTGTTGCAAATTTACATACATAAATACAGGTGTGTGTGAGTGTATTATATACACACACACACACACACTTGCATATATGTACATGCATACACACACACCTGCATAACTCTACACATTCCTATATATTGTATATATATAAACACACACATGAATACACACTTGTATATGAATATATATACACTCACACATATATGCACATACATACAGATTATTGTAAATCATTACTGTTAAATGCTAAAAAAAATGACATTTCAGTTGATTGCATCAAATATTTCATTATTTTGTGTTTGTTTGCTGTTTCTATTTCTGTCCAGTAATCACCCCCATGATGTGATGTTTAATAACAGTCCACATGCGTTTGACTTAATCTGTTCACTTCGTTTCCTCCGCCAGACTCTGACACCGACGAGATAAACCGTGTTTTCAGACAGACCAGAGCAAATATTCATAACAATCATCCACTTCAAGTGTCCTCGCAGCTGCCAGCGTTGCCATGGAAACCAGCATCCGTCTCCGTCTGGAGATCGTGTCTGGGATCCGTCTGAACGGTGAGGGTGATGGCCTAGTAATCATTTTATTTTTTAAAGAAATTCTTTGTTGCATTTATTTGTCGAAAAACCAGCATTTTCACTGTACACAAGTTTTAGTTTGACTATTTGAAGACTATATATTAAAAACATCCCATATATTTATATATACATGCTTACACACACACACACATGTGTGTGTGTGTGTGTGTTTGTATGTATCTGGTATTATATTGGTATTATTTATATATCTGGTACACTATCAATTCCAATCATTAGGTTTTTTTTCATTAATTAATACTTTGATTCAGCAAGGACATATTAAATTAATCAAAAGTGACAGTCATTTAATGTATCCACTGTATGAAATACATACATGCCTAGGGTTTTTATGCAAAAAATACATTTTTATGCAACATATTAACCACAAATAGTTCACCTTAAAAGTGACATTTTTATTTTTTTGCTTGTTTGCTTCAAATGTCACAGCTTAGGAAAGGATGGATGCTTTATGAAGGGACATCATGTGTGCAGGTTATTGTAATATTTTTATTACCTAGCAGTGTTGATCCCCAATAATTGGCTCAGTACACTTGAAATATTATGAGAGTGTTCTTCAGCATTTGCAGCATTTAATAGGTTATGCCATTTGATTATGCGTCACATTCATGAGGAAACAGACAAATCTACATCGTACCGTAATGAGAGACAACGTGATTAAGATCCGAAGCCGAAGATGCTTTTCACCGGCGATCTTCACTATTATGGGTTCTTTAAAATACAAAGCAATTGAGACGTGTGTGTGCGTGCGTGTAAAAAACACAATATTATATATTTAAATATTATTTTACATTTTAAAATATTAATATAGTATATATAAATATGACACTATTTTATGTTTAAATATATATAATGTAATACATATTTAAAACATTATATATATAACGATTTAATTTACTTTTTTTAAATATATATTAAAAAATATTACATTGTGAAATCTATATTAAACAATATTAATATTGTACAATTTGATATAATATTAATGTATGAATGATATTATATCTAAAAAATCTATATAATATTACACTATATTTTAAAAATATGTTGAATGTTTTAACTATTTATATATTTTATTTACAGTATATAAAATATATTAATATTTTAACATCTAACATTTTTTTAAATATATTTATACATTAATATATCAAATTGTACAATAAAAAATAAAAATACAATTAAATTTAAATATAGATTTCACAATCTTATATTTATATATATATATATATATATATAATCTTACACTATATAATATACTTGTATATAAAAAATCATCTAACATTTTAAAATACTTTATATAATGTATATACACTATATAAATATATTATATAACCGATTTAAACAAATTGTAGATATGTATTATATATATATATATATATATATGTGTATATAATATAGTGTAAGAATATATAATATTATAAATATTTTATATATAATAGTGTAATATATATATATATCTTATATTAAATTGTAAAATAAATATATCAATATTACAATGTAATTTATTTTTAAATATATATTTAAATTATACTAATTAATTTGTTTTTATTTAAAATTTGATTATATTCCCTGACTTTTCTAACATTTTATAGTACATTATGTAATAACATATAATATTTGATTTGTGGATGAAATATAACCTGAAGATTGATGTGCTTAGTGAGATTTTGATATATGGTGTGTGTTCGTGTAGAAAGGGGAGAAGAGTGACGACTCGATTCATAAAAACGATCAAGATCCAAAAGACAATCATATAAAACAGTGTCTCTCGTATGAAACCTTTCAACAACAACAACAACAACAACATGGTCTGCACTGCTGATCAGATATTCACGTAAAAGTCCCGCGTGTTGGTCCCTGACTGAAGAACTAGACCTTCCTGGCGCCCTCGTGTCGGATGATCTTGTACGTGATCCAGTAAAACACGTTGAAGATCAGGAACACCATCGGGAAGGCGGCTCGGGAAACGGTGTCGATCCGCTTGGCTCGGTCCACAAACTTCTTCCGGTTGGGTTCCGAGTCCTTCGGGATTGACGACCCCTGAATGGCGTTGGTCGCGGGGCTTTTGTTGTAGCCGGAGAAGTGCAGGCGGCCATCTTGTAACTCTTCCTCCTGTGTGTTCAGAGATAAAGAGGGAATTTGTGTTATAACGAATAATGTAGATCCAGCCGGTTATCTCAGAATAAACCCCCTTCAGGTGTGTGTATGTAATTTTTATTTGATAAATATTGTTTTATAATAATCATAATAATTATATATATATATATATATATATATATATATTAGGGCTGTGCAAAAATTAATTGCGATTAATCGCATCCAAAATAAAAGTCTGAGTTTACACAATATATTTGTGTGTGCTGTATATAATTATTTTGTATATATAAATACCTATGCATGCATGTATATATTTAAGAATTATTTGTGCTTAAATTCTGTATATGTATATAAATACATAATCTATATTATATAAATATAAATATTTTATATACGAATAACACATTTTCTTAAATAAATACATGCATGTGTGTGTATTTATATACACAAAATAATTATATACAGCACACACAAATATATTTTGTAAACACAGACTTTTATTTTGGATGCGATTAATCGCAATTAATTTTTGCACAGCCGTAATATATATATATATATATATATATATATTTTTTTTTTTAAATATATATATATATATATATTTATATATATTATGTGCTGTAATTCACAATTTTATAAAATTGACTTTAGAATCATGTTAAACAATATTAATTTACTTATTTTATTATAATACACACATACAATATAATAATAATATATATACATGCATACACACAAATATATATAATGTATGTAATTTTTATTTTAAAATATATTTTTCAAATATATTAAAAAAATATGAATCTAATTTATGTGCTGTAATTTATAATATTATAATTATAAAAATATTTTTTAATTTAATAAATTATTTATTTGATTAAAATGTTAATTAAATTTTATTTAGTTAAAATATATATTTTTATTTATTTATTACCTAGAACATTTAGTATATAAAAGTATCGTTTCGATTTGTTCATGAACAAATTAGACATATTTATACTGAATAATAACACGGGTTGACCAATGAACATCTGGAACCCAAATAAATCCTTGAATCAGTTTCAAATTAATTCACTGAAATAAATCAAACTTACCAACTCTAGTGGAGAATTTGGAATCATGTATTAGCATATTACTAATTTTAATTAGCTAATCAATATTTTACCAGCTAATTACATAAATAAGCAGCAGTAAAGTCCAACTTTAAAAAAACAAAACCTGAAGATGAATGAATTATCATTTATTATCACTCATTATCATTGAAGCATCACATGACTCATATGAAGGCTAATATAGCGCACTAGTTTATGATAGTGTATTTTTGTACGTTTAACTGAATGGAAAATTATTCTTCTGACGAACACCTCGTTTGCACTCCAGAGACGACACACACACACACACACAAGCTTTAATCACTGGATAAATTATTCCTTTAATGTTATTTTTGTCCCATTAGAGATTCGTTTGAGCCCCAAATATGAGCAATCTTTCCCGTGTGTGTGAATAATTAATGAGTAAACAAACCGACTGCAGATGTGGACGTGAAGCGGCGATTATGAAGCGTTTGACTGAGGGATTTGTAATGGACTCTGTGTTAATGCGCTCCTCGTTAAAGATGATGTCCTTTCTAAACGAGCGTCTTCTGTCACACACTGATGCACAACAGAGGCGACACACACCAACACACTGATCCACAACACACTCTTCTCGCTCAGTTTGTTTGTCTTGTTTCCAGTCCAAATATCTACAGATTCTTAAATCAAGATGCATTTACTAAATTGGTAAGAAGACATTAGATATTGTGTGTGTGTGTGTGTGTGTGTGTGTGTGTGTGCACCTTGGCGTGTCGCCTCTGCCTGCGCTTGAGCCGCAGGAACTCCTTCTGTTGTCTGGAGACGAAGTTCACTCCGGCGTACTCCAGCAGGGCGGCGAACACGAACAGCAAACACACCGCCATCCAGATGTCTATCGCCTTCACATACGACACCTAACACACACACATCGCATATTCATTTATTTATTCATTATAATAGCTTTTAATAATATTTTATACGTGATTGCTATATATATATATATATATATATATATATAGAAAATATATAAAAATATCTATAAAATGCATAAAAAAACATTTTTAAATAAATGAATAAAATAAAAAATGCCACATACATATGTATATATACATACATATATAAATATATATTTATTTATTCATTATAATAGCTTTTAATAATATTTTAGACATGATTGCAATATTATATATATAATATATATATATTTATAAAATAACAAAATTATATATTTATTATATATATATAAAACAATGATATTTTAATACTTTTTATTATATATAATTGTAAAATAAGTATTTATATATTTTAATGTGTATGTATATGTGTGTGTGTATATATACATACATATATGTGTGTGTGTGTCATTTTTTATTTTATTCATTTAATTTAAAAATATGTTTTATTTATGCAGTTTTTTTATTTATGTATTTTTGTAAAAAATATATAATGTGTGTATATATATATATATTATTTCATATATATATATGTTATTTTATTATGCTTATTTAAAAAAAATATATTTATGTATTTTTAACTCGAACATTTTATATATATATATATATATATATATAATTTTTTATTTTATTATGCTTATTTAATTTTAAAATTATTTATGTATTTCAAAGTAGAACATTTAATATTATAGTAAGTTTTTTTTACATTTTAATATACTGAAATATAACACAGTCACTAAAACAGTTCACAGAAATGAATCAAATTTACCAATAATTGATAATTTGAAGTTTTATTACACTAATCAATATTTTACCAGCTCTGATTACCATGAATTAGCAGCAGTAAAGTCCAACTTTAATAAACAAAACCTGAAAATGCATGAATTATCACTTTTTCTCAGATGAACTGCTGATGTTCGTTCTGTTACGCACACTAAATCTCACTGATTTGCATATCGAGTCACATGATCCTGCCGTATTTTTGGAGAAAACAACAGCGTCGTCATTAGAGAAAAGACTTTATTGGAGCCAGTAAAACAGGAGCAGGGATTATGGGATTATTGGCTGTCTAGTAATGGCTTCTGGAACAGAAAAGCGAATCTTCCTGATAATTGAGTTCCAGCTTCTGATGTTGTGAATCAGGACTCTTTCCAGTTAATATTAATAGTCTCTGACGTCACGCAACTCTTGATGATAGAATATCATATTAATAAAAGATGGATGTCTTGTGTTGCTAAATGCCACAATTAATTTTAAAGTATACGACAGTTATTCTTATTCAAGATTATTAAAACAATAATGATGTGTAAACCATGTATAAATTATTATTGTTTTAATAATCTTGAATCCGATTAACTTGCAGCATCTCTTCTCAGATGATGTGGGCGGGGCTTTAACCTGTCACTCACATGAGATCAGCCAATAGCAAACCACAACCGTCCAATCAATTCCCCACAGACACAATCAAGCCCCGCCCACATGTGTTCTTGTTGCTGAAGCGTTTCACTCGGATATACGGACCAACAGAGAAATAAAGACTAGAGTAACATGACTGTATATCGTTACAGATCCTCATATTTCTGGTTGTGACATGAGTGAGCGGGCTGACCTTTGGCAGCGAGGCCCGTGACCCCGAGCTCTGGGTCGTCATGGTGAGGACCGTGGTGATGCCGAGTGCGACCCGGGCCGGAGCCGCGTCCATGTTGATCCAGAAGGAGACCCAGGAGAGGATGACGATGAGGAGGCTGGGGATGTACATCTGGATCAGGTAATATCCCATCTGCCTCTCCAGGTGGAACTTGACCTCGATGCACGTGAACTTCCCTAAACACCAGCCAGCGGTTCACACAACAGCTTAAAGGACTTCAGTTTGACCTTTTTGGTCCCGGAAAACCCTTGAAACATGTTTTATGACTTCAGCAGTGTTGGCGAGTTACAATATTGTGTTACTCCCTTAAAACCTAACTAAAGTTGCTTTTGTGTCACATTTTTTCAGCTGGGCAATACTTGTTTTTTTTTTTTATAACAAACAAGTTATATTTTTGGGCAAATGTAAAGACCCTTTCACAAATAATAATAGAGTACAGTAGAGGTACAATAGAGTACAGTAATGAACCATTTTTTCCTGAAAGTACAAGCAAAAGTATCTTCAAATGGGGTAAGAAAAATTATATATGAAGAGTTCAGATGCAAAAGCCTCTAAATGCCATTTGAAATTTTCTTCAAACTTGATTTTTATCAAACTTGTATATTTTATTTCATTAATTTCACTTAAATAACAATTAATAGGTAATTATCATTGCCATTTAAGTGAAATTACTGAACTTAAATATACAAGTTTGATAAAAATCATCATTAAAGAAGAACATTTCAAATGGCATTTAGAGGCTTTTGCATCTGAACTCTTCATATATATATATATATATATATTAGAGCCAGACCGATATATCGGCAGACCAATATTAGGCATTTTCCAAAATATCGGTATCGACAGTTATAATGGCCGATAAATGAATATTTCAAAAGTAAAATAAAAACGGACGAAACACGCTTGAACCATGTCATGAGAGTTGGAGTTGTATAGTTTGTCCACCAGAGGGCGCTCTACACCGTTCCTGTTGGCAACACTCGTTGAGTTGGTCACGATACATTCATTGCTTGAATAACAATTAAAAGATCATCTCCATCAGTTCTCTGAACTCAAATAAGCAGGACAACATTTGACTATCATGTCCAGTTTTGCTGTTAAATAAGCCGAGAGTGTTTAGCTAGTAATAGTTACGTTACGTTGTTACAGTGTCGTTGGCTGACTGTCCTTTTAACGTTTGATAATGTGACTGAAGTATTTCTTTAATAGCGCGTGACAGTTATAGCAATGAGACGCATCATCTCTCCTCGGCCTGTTATATTGAAAATGTATGTTCGCAGTATGACGTAATCCATTGCTAAATTACGGCTCATTATAGACTAGCTAACCATAAAGCTAGCTAATGCTACTATCATCAGTCTGTTCTGTTGTGACAATAAAAGAAACAAGTTTAGTTTTAAAATGCATTATCATTAATTAAGTTAAAACTCATAAATAATAACAAACAACTAATGTTAGGGAAATCTGTTAATGTTTTATTTACGCGTTTCTGAAAAAAAAAAAAAAAAATATCGGCCGATATATCGGATTTCAAAACCAAAAAATATTTGCATCGGCCTTCAAAATCCTTTATCGGTCGCGCTCTAATATATATATATATATTTATTCAGAAAATTAGAGAATTTTCTTTATCTTATCTAGTAAATGCGTCTTGATTTAAGAAATTTAAGATATTTGGACTGGAAACAAGACAAACACTGAGAAAGAAAAGCATTTTTGACTCCAGTGTGTCTCGTCTGACCTGTGTTGTAGTGTTTGGTGCAGTAGCCCAGGTCCTTCTCGTCTCTGATCAGGAACTGTGGTAACGTCAGACCATCAGCCACCTGAACCGGGCCGTTGTCCAGCCACTCGAAGATCAGGTCGTTCATGGTGTATCCGACTGGAGAACACACACAGATTCAGAGATGAAGAAGAGGAGAGAGATGAGAGATGAAGAAACTCCTGAGGAACTCACAGCTCTCCAGCTGCATCGTACAGGTCTGGACGTCCATCGGGAAGTTCTTCAGGTCCATCGGACACGACAGGATCAACGTCAGCCTGGGAACAGTAAGTTCACTTCTATAATTCAACAATTATGAAACGAATTTGTAAATGTTAGTTCAATGCAGTTAAAGCGTTAGAATTAAAATTAGGAATTGTAAAGTGTAAAGCATTGTTTGCTGTTTATCTGCAATAGTTGATGCTGTAAATCAAACACACTGAAAGTCGAGTTAACTCTATGAAGGCGTCACCTGCAGCTGAAGCGACACTATGACTTATGCATGAAGACACTGACGACGAGCTGATGTGTGCACGTTTATATAAATAGAACATCATTTATGAAATCTAGGACAGCGTCATATCAGCTTATTTTCAAAACTGAACGTAACTGAGATTCTGTTTCTCCATTTACAATCAGAGCTGCAGAAATCTCATATATATAACATCATATTTCTGTTTTGCTAATGTGCTGATTTGAGAACTAAACCTGATGACATTTCACAAATCATTACAAAAGCTAAGAGCAAGTGACATTGAATTAAAAGTGAAATTGTAATTTCTTGTCAAACAAACTCCTATGAAAAATAATATGACTAGAGCACTATCAGAACGATTTATGAATAGTTTATGTCAGAATTGAAAACTTTATTTAAAAAAATAATGCTTTAATAAAAGAATCACATTTTTGTCATTGTGGTCCAGTGTTATTTTAGTATTATTTATAGACTATTGTAGAATTAATTCAGATTTTTTATTATTATTTTTTTAAATATATATATTAGTTTTAGTAATTATAGTTTTTCATATAATTACAATTTCATATATTGTAATACAATTATAATTAAATTACAATTATAATTTCATATAATTACATTATATTAAAAACTATCATTTTAATATATAATTTCAATAATTTAACTTAAAAAAAATTTAAATCTATAATTTTTTTAAATTGTAATATTTATTGTAATATTAGTTTTATTTCAATGCAATTTTTATAAGGGGAAAAGGAATATATGACGGTATACAAACTTCTTTTTATATCAAATTTCGACATTTAATTTATGCGATTCATGAATGAATATGACGAAACCAAAACTATTATATTTTATATAATATAATCAATATTTTATAATATAACCAAAACAAAATTTTTTTTTTTGCAAATAGTTACTTCACAACTACAATTAGACTTCTTAGAACTTCTTTTACATTTTTTATTTATATTTTTGTAATTCCTTAAATCATTTTGATCATTTAATTATTTGATTCTTTTAAACTGACAATAATTCTTAAAACACTGATCAATAATGGCCTTGTTTTTACATTTATTTCAATCATTACATTTATACACTGAACAACATCAGACGTGTGTGTGTGTGTGTGTGTGTGTGTGTGTGATCTCTTGGAGGTGTTGAAGTGAGCTTTAATTGATAATGGCTTGTTCTCTTTATGCGGCGTAACGAGGAATCGCTGAACTACATCACAACTGCCAGACGTGATTAATAATAATAATGTTCATTAATAATGTCTTTATATCTGATCAGAGCAGAGCGTTAAAGAATAAACCGCTTTATTATCAGTTTTAGCAATGGATTTGACGAATTATGTGATGTTATTGGGTTTGTGTCACTCTAAAACTCTTATATTGTTATATTTTAAAACTGACGTTTACTTAATTATCCAGACACATCATTTATTAGAGTATTAAATATGATCATCAGGCTTTTGAGGAAGATTTATTTGTTCGTCTCTAGATCATCATTGTATTGCATTGCAATTTTGCATTATTTGTTTTACAACTACAGAGATTTGATCATAAATTATTTAAATATCATCTGACTAAGACATTATTAGCAGATATTCTTATATTAATATAAGTATCAGCTATACTGTTAAGATCTCATTGATTTACATCACAATCGTTAAAATTACATATAAATATCAGCATCTGCAGAAAACTGCATATTTTTGCTCAGTTTAAAGCTGTTTTTATCCATATTCTCACTATATGAGCCATGATGTGTCAGATATGATTATTAACAAAACACACACATGCAGATTCGCTCTTTTATTCTGTATTTTGCCTCAGTAATGGGTTTCCTTTTTTGGTGTGTGCACATTTTCATATTTATACCATATATTTCAACAGATTTGTGTCATTTGATCAAACAGGGTGAATTACTGTCTAGTGATATATAATAAATGATGACGGATGATCAAGTAAAGCTCAGTTCAGCTGAAATATTACTCACAATATCAAAGTTATTCTTGCGTTTCCTTGATGAAGATCAGATTTACAGACTCGTGAAGCAGGAGCTGAAGGAGGACGTCTGTACAGTTAAAGAGCTTTTACCCGATAAACACTGTAAACTATCCGTCACACACTGAGAGATCGGCTGTGAACGCAGTTTTGATCGTGTTGCGTATCGAATATTAAAGATCTTCGCACCTGATGCTGTACAGAACGGTCCCGTCCTTGAAGATCCTCAGGAGCTTGTTGTCCGTCGTGACGTCGTGGAAATTGGCTCCTTTCTCGTTGGCGAAGAACAGGTCAGGTTTCCAGATGGAGTCCAGCATGGACGGGTCGAGGTCCAGAGACGAGTCCGGGTACTCGCTGTACGCCAGCCGCGGGTCGTTCCACTTCTGCCGGAGGAAGATGTTCACCCTGTAGTCCTGACACACACACCAGACATCATTTCTGATGCAGTAATTCAACTTAAAAGGTGAAACTAATATATTATATAGACTCACATGCAAAGTCAGATATTTCAAGCCTTTATTTGTTAAAATTTTTGATGATTATGGCTGAATTTTTATGATTATAACTTCTAATGTGTTTCACCAAAACTCATAAAAATGGTCTTTTTAGATTCGGTGCAGCAAGCCGAGTTGAACAATACCCAACTTCCCCATATCGACAATTTCGGGCGTCGGCCATTTTTTTACAATACGTTTATAAAAAATACTATTTTATGAACTACGATTTTTTGGCGTATTGTTATGAATCTCGGTATGTGTCATCGGCACCATGCCCTAACAGTACTCAAAACATTGAGGGGGCAGCGCCACCTTTTGGTCAAAAGATATTAAGACATTTCCAAAAATTATAATAACTTTTTATTAAATTGGCCTTTTTTTAATGAAACTGGTCCTGCCGAGAACATTGATACCAATTTTGCCATAGTCGGACGAACTTCCTGTCCGCCATTTTTATTTTCTTTAAAAACCTACATTTTTGAACTCCTCCTAGACCGTTGGTCTGATTTTCATCAAATTCGATCATCTTCAGAACATGCCGGCAAATATTTATGGATTTCGTGTCTATATAGTTTTCGTATACCGCACCAACAAAGTTGACTCTGAGACTTTATCTCTGCAATGATTTGGTATATTAAACACCAAACTTTGCATGTGTCATTGTCACCTCACTCTGACCATAAGACTTCAATATAGTCACAGCGCCACCTATTGGTCGGAAGTGATAAACCATTAAATCATATGACTAGTGACTGTATTTGTGATTTTTCAGCCATAAATAATCTTGAAATAATCTTAATATGTCTTTTATTTCTAATATTTCTCCTTATTGCGTCTAGCCTGATGCTAGCATGACGTATCGTGTCTTCTTTGTGCTTGGCCCGTTAATGGCTGCTTGCAGTTATATTTTCATGTTGACTTTGTGATTCAGAAAACACCCAAGAGACGCTTTATATCTGGCATGCAGACAGAGGATCAGCAGACCTTCTGGTAAAATAAAAGCCTTTCACAGTATGAGCATTTAGCACAGTATTTCATAAAAGGCCGCCATCAAGAACAAAACATGCATTGTTGTAATTTCTCCTTTTCTCCGTTCAAACGACATGATTTTAACGTGCATTGCAAAGCCATTCAGTAACTTTATAAACATTTCTGTGTGTTTTTGTTCAAAGTTTAGCTATAGAAATCCATTCAGGGTTTGAGACGAAGCTCTTTGGAAACTGTGTTGAGTTAATCAATTAGCCAGACCTTTTGTTCCACTCGTAACGAGCAAACTGTGACATTACAAAAAGATTCACACAAATTAATTAGTTGCATATAATATAATAACCAAGATAAATGCACTCATCAAAACATAAAATGTGTGTGTGTGTGTGTGTTTTAAATTACTGGTATAAATTAGTAGTTCTTCCATTTGTTTATCATTTGGATACAATAAACTATTTTTTTCACAGAAATTACTACTTAAAAAAGGCAAATAACACATTGAAATAAATATGAAACTTTGAAGTAGAAATACTTAAACTTAATCTGTGCAAAATCATTTTTTACAGCTTAAACGCTAAAACACTTCACATTGGTCCAAATTAATTTGACTTTGTCAATTAATTTCACCTTCATTCTGATTAAACACTATGAAGAGAATTGCTTCAAGAGCATGTAGTAGTAAATCGAGTCTTTAGCCGTGTTTCCATCCACCCATTTTTATGTGCGTTTTGGGATATTGCATAAAAAAAAGTGGATGGAAATGCATAAATTCTAAAAATGTGTTTAAAAAAAATGACTGATGAATATTTTTTATTTGTTAATAAAATGAGCATAAACTATGATTGAAAACATATTAACTGAATAAACCCCTAATAACCTCATACTTTAGTAAAATATTGAGTGTTTGAGTCGTCGCGTCGTCATTAGCTGTGTTTCGATCCAATTATTTTCATGCAAATTGGGGATATTGTTTAAAAAAGTGTTCAGTTCACTTACTTTAAACCCTTTAGTGAACCCGTTGCCTTAAAATTATTAAGTAAACAAACGTAATGCTTAATTGAAAAAATTAAGTTATGTGAACTTGACAATAATTTTTTTTTTTTGATTAAGCATTTAGTTTATTTAGGCTACTTAATAATTATAAGGCAATTTATTTTAAGTTAAGTGATCTGAACACGTTTTACAGTGTGGAAACGTGCATCAATTACAACAACAACAAAAAACTGCAAACAATTGTTGGAAAAATGTTTATCAAAAAATTCCCACAATGTGCAACAATAACCCCACGATAAACTCAGCATTAGCTGTGATTGGATAACTGGCGTATCCAGCGGACCAATGGCGTCGCAGCGTCTCTAATGTTGGTTTGGTGTTTCTGAGAGTCGGAGTGTGTGATCAGAATGATTGGGTTTATTCCCTCCAGAAGCGTCTCACACACACACGAGTGTGTTCCCAAACGCCGGAAAACACAAAAGCGTTTACTGTGTGTCGTCTGACGCTCGACACACACTCGTTTATGATTGGTTCATGACACATTTACAGTTTTATTACTGATATTTTGCATCAGTTTCCCAGAAAGAGACGATTTTGTTCTCTTGAACACACGACGAAACGTCGCTTTATCCACACGTGTTTTATATTCCAGCTCCGTGTTACGGCCTTTGGCCTGTTTTTGGTCGTTCCCCTGCTCCTCCTCTCTTTCAGGCTTAATTGCTAACACCTGGGAAGATGGTGCTTTAAATGGGAGCTTCTCCGCTGTATGGCGGGCTTTTTCCTCATCTGGTGGCTGAAGACTCCGACGCTGCTCGGCTAGCTGCTTCAGGCTTAGACCTCGCTCGATACGCCAGGATTTCACAGAGATGCACCTTTAAGTTTATCTGAGTTGATGTCTTTTATTTTTACATCCAACATCTGCACACATACACACCTACAACACATCCCAGCACTTACTTTACACTGCTGATGCTGACATTCATATCCCATGATTAATTACGTTGTTTGTATTTGCGTTCGATACACAATAAATTTATGTTTGGCACAATTTGTTTATGGCATGGTCTCCCATTGATTGTTATGGCCTGGAGTCAGTCATAACAAATGGGGGCTCGTCCGTTTTATTTTGCGTAGTGCGTAAAATTTGATTTAGTAATATGTGTATGAGCGTTTAAGGGCACACGAGAGTGAGTGTAGCTCGTAGTAGCTTCATCTTGATTGGCGGTTAAAGGGGGGATCCCGTGACGTCAGTGCCCTTATATGGTTATTGCGCTCTGGGAGACGTGCCTGAATTTGATTAGTTCTAATTTGTTTGCTGGCGTATTCGAGCGGAAGTGTTTGGGCGTGTGTTTTCAGCAGTAGTGGCTGTTTTTTTTCTGGAGATGCGTGAAGGTAAGTGACAGTTTGTTAAAGCACAACTAAGTTTTGGGCTGGCGTTTTTCCTTGTAGGCATAGCAGCGTTTCCCAATAGGGGGTTCGCTGCATTATTGTTTTAGAGTGGAGGTACGGCGGGTAGAGCTTCCCATGTTCCTTTTCCCTACATCGGCTCGGGAGCATTTCCGTGGTTTCAGCGGGGTTGCCAGCTTGCTGGTCACCTTTGTCTGACCATCGGGATATGAATGCATAAAAACCCACCGCTACGCCTCACGAAGACTAGGGTCAGTAAGTTAGCTTCTGTGATAGGTAGTTAGCGGGAAAACGCCGTCCTTGGGTTGTGCTGATAAATTTGTCATTTAAGCTTTGTCTCTAGTGGATTTGTTAGCCATGGATGAAGTGGTGGAGGATTTTATTGAATCGCCACATGAACGGGGATTAGATATTTGTACTAAGAAACAATTAATTAGAATTGCGGAGTATTATAAGGTTGATATAGGGGATGCCCGAAAGACAAAGGATCATGTTAAAGGTAATTTGGCAGCAAAATTGTTGGAAAAGGGGGTCTTGTTGAAAGGTAAAGTTGACACTTCTCTGTTGGGAGGAGCTAACCCGGTGGGCTTATCATTTGAGCAGCAGAAAGAGTTGCTTTTGTTGCGTATTAAAGCTGAACACGAGAAAGAGCAGGCGATGGAAACAATGAGGCAGGATTTGGAGCGGGAAAAGTTAGATGTGGAGAGACAAAGACTGGCGCTGATTAGAGAAGGTAAGCTTGAGGGTGCGGCACAGGTAAACATTAAACAGGATGACCTGAGTGATCTGAGATTTGTTCCCAGGTTTAATGAGGAGGACCCAGAGACATTTTTTTCCTTATTTGAACGTCTGGCAGAGGTTCGAAGTTGGTCTGATTCCACGCGTATGTTAATGTTACAATGTGTATTAACCGGAAAAGCACAGCAGGCATTTTCAGCATTGAGCAGTACCGATTGTGTTAAATACTCTGTGGTAAAAAATGCTGTTTTAAAAACGTATGAACTTGTGCCGGAGGCGTACCGACTACGCTTTCGAGGTTGGAGACGTGGCGATAAGTCACACCTAGAGTTTATGCGTGATTTAACTATGCATTTTGACTGTTGGTGCTCAGCGGCCGGGGTTGACTCCTTTGAAAAACTCCGTGAGTTAGTTATTTTGGAGCAGTTTAAAGACTCTGTGTCAGAGTGTATCGCTACGTATATTAGTGAGCGTGGAGTTAAGTCGATTGGTGAAGCTGCTGCTCTGGCTGACGATTATTTTTTGATTCATTCTTCAAGAGGTGGCGCTGGTCCTCATGAAGCAAGGGCAAGTAGGCAGTTTGTGGATAGGAGTGGTGTTTCAGGGGATTCAGAAAAAATCTGTAATTACTGTCATAAGCGAGGTCACTGGAAAAATGATTGTTATGCTCTTAAATCTCGTCCACAGCAAGCTTTTCCTAAAGCTAATCCAGCTATGTGTGCTGTGTCTGTTGCTGGCCAGGAGGTAGGTGGAGTCACTGAAGGCAATCTGGAGTTGAAATCTTATTTGCCTTTTATTACGGAAGGTTTTGTGTCTTTAAAGGGAAGTAAAGAGCAGGTGCGCATAAAGATTTTACGTGATACTGGGGCGTTTGACTCATTTATTGTAGCTGCAACATTGCCATTTTCAAATGACACCTTTGTGGGCTCAAGCATTCCTGTTGTTGGAATGGGGTTAAATGTTTTGAATGTACCACAACACAAAATGATGCTGCATTGTAATCTCTTCCAGGGCGAGGTGTCTGTTGGTGTGCGTCCAGCATTACCTGTGGATGGTGTCGCTATGATCCTGGGTAATGACATCGCCGGTGATAAAGTATGGGCTGACGTATCTCCGCCTGCCAGGGTGACGGTGACTCCTCTGGAGTGCAGTAAGCCTGATGAGAGTGAGGTACACTTTCCTGATGTGTTTAGTGCCTGCGCAGTAACTCGGTCAAAGCATGTGGACGGTGATCAATCTGAAGTTGTGGCCTCTGGTCCTCGCTTACTCTTACCTGTTGTTCCCTGGTCTGTTTCTCATGATGAGCTATTGCATGAGCAGGAAGCTGACGGCACTTTGAAGCCTTGTATGGATGGGTTGTGTTCTCCTGCAGAGGTCGGAAGTCATTCTCATTGCTATTTTTTACATGATAATGTCTTGATGAGGAAATGGACGCCTCAGTTTGAGGGTTTTGTTGGTAATCCCATTTACCAAGTGGTTGTTCCTTTAAAGTATAGGAACACTGTGTTGCAGATTTCCCATGACCAGTCTGGACATATGGGTGTCAGGAAGACATATGACCGAGTTCTGCTGTATTTTTTTTGGCCTCGGTTGAAAAAGGATGTCTCCGCGTACATCAAGTCATGTCACACTTGTCAGTTGACAAGTAAGCCTAACCAGATTTTGAGGCCCGTTCCACTCTGTCCAATACCAGCTATCAGTCAGCCTTTTGAACATCTTCTTATTGACTGTGTTGGTCCATTACCACCATCAAAATCAGGTTCCAGGTATTTGTTGACAGTGATGTGTCAAAGTACTAGGTACCCTGCCGCCTACCCATTGAGGAGTATAACAGCCAAGTCTGTGGTTCGTGCATTGTCCCAATTTATTTCTATTTTTGGAGTTCCACGGATCATTCAGTCAGATCAAGGGTCAAATTTTTGTTCAAAATTATTTGCTCAAGTGTTGGAACAGTTGAACATAGTTCATAATTTTTCATCTGCTTATCATGCTCAAAGCCAGGGTGTTTTGGAGCGCTTTCACCAAACACTTAAGTCTATGTTGCGCTCATTGTGTGTTCAGATGCAGGGTGATTGGGAAGAGGCTTTACCGTGGATGTTGTTGGCTGCTAGAGAGGTAATTCAAGAAAGTACAGGGTTTAGTCCTAATGATCTGATTTTTGGTCATAAAGTGCGGGGTCCTCTGGCTCTGTTGCAGGACACTTGGAAGGAGGCTCAGCCTCCAAGTAATCTACTGGACTTTGTGAATGGATTTAGGTACAGGCTTTATATGTCTCAGGAAGTGGCCAGGGAGAATTTGGCCAGGGCACAAACTAAAATGAAGAAACGCTATGATCGTCAGACTGAGTACAGAGAATTTCTCCCAGGTGACCAGGTTTTGGCGCTTTTGCCTGTAATTACTTCTCCGTGGCAAGCCAAATTTTCTGGACCATTCTCTGTATTAAAGAAGCTTTCTGATCAAAACTATTTAATCTCGACTCCAAATCAGAGAAAAAAGGCCAGGCTTTGCCATGTTAATCTTTTGAAGCCTTATATTTCCCGTGAGTCATCTGGAAGTGAGAGGGCGTTAAGGTTGTCCAAAGCTCATCCTGTCTGTTTGGCTATGCCATCGTCCTCTGTTGTGGTAGAGGGGGAGGATCTGTCAGGGCCTGATGAGGGTATGGTGTCTGGACGGCTGAAAAATATGGAAGCTTTGGACAAATTAGAAAGCGTTTTGGGTCATCTAGAGTCTTGTCAGCGGGTACAGCTAGTTAAGCTGATTAGAAGTTTTCCTTGTCTATTTGGAGACACGCCATCACGTACGACTTTATTAAAACATGATATAGACGTGGAAAATGCGAAGCCAATTAGGCAAAGATTCTATCGTGTTCACCCAGAGAAGCGTAAAAACCTGGAGGCTGAGATCAAGTACATGGTTCATAATAAGATAGCAGTTCCCTCTGACTCTAGTTGGGCCTCACCATGTCTCTTGGTACCAAAGTCAGACAATACATTTCGGTTCTGTACAGATTTTCGTAAAGTGAATGCAGTTACTAAGCCTGACTCCTTCCCTCTTCCTCGTATGGAGGATTGTGTTGATCAAGTGGGGGGGGCGAAGTTTGTGACTAAGCTGGATTTACTTAAAGGTTACTGGCAGGTGCCATTGACAGACAGGGCCAGGGAGATTGCTTCTTTTATTACACCCGGGGGGCTGTACTCCTATAACGTTATGGCTTTTGGCCTACGAAATGCCCCAGCAACTTTCCAGCGCCTAATGAATTTGGTGGTGCGGGATCTGGACGGATGCGCAGTGTATTTGGATGACGTGGTGGTGTATGCTGACAACTGGGAACAACACTTGGAGCGTGTTAAAGCATTGTTTGTGCGTCTGGCTCATGCAGGTTTAACAGTGAATCTGGCAAAGTGTGAATTCGCTAGAGCCACGGTGGTCTACTTGGGTCGTGTGGTTGGCCAGGGTTCGGTGAGACCGGTGCGTGCTAAAGTGTGTGCAATTGATGACATTCCGTCACCAACTACAAAAAGGGAACTCATGAGATTTCTCGGAATGGTGGGCTACTATAGATGTTTTTGTAGGAATTTCTCTACAGTGGTCGCACCATTAACTGATCTTCTAAAAGGGAAGACAAAGTATGTGTGGTCTCCGGTATGCCAACAGTCCTTTGAGAGGGTGAAAGCTCTAATTTCCAATGCTCCAGTTCTAGTTGCTCCTAGGTGGGATCGTGAGTTTCACCTAGAGGTGGATGCTAGCATGGTTGGGGCTGGGGCAGTATTGCTGCAGAGAGATGATGGAGGGGTTGATAAGCCTGTGTGTTTCTTTTCCAGGAAATTTAATCGCCATCAGCTAAACTATTCAGTCATTGAAAAGGAAACACTGGCGCTTATTTTGGCGTTGCAGCATTTTAGTGTGTATCTGGGCTCTGGTCCGGTGGTAGTTTTTTCCGATCATAATCCTCTAACTTTCCTTAGCACTCTACAGACTCCTAACCAACGGCTGATGCGCTGGGCTCTTCACCTCCAGTCCTACACTTTGGACATTCGGCATATCAAGGGGCGGGACAATGTGGTGGCAGACGCTTTGTCCCGGGCTCCAAGTGGTTAGGTAAGATGTGCCTTCTTAAAAAAGGTTACAAACTTTCTGTTTTGGGATACCTGCAGCTCAAGGGAAACCCTAGGGGTCCCTGTTTTGTTAGAGGGGGGTGTTACGGCCTTTGGCCTGTTTTTGGTCGTTCCCCTGCTCCTCCTCTCTTTCAGGCTTAATTGCTAACACCTGGGAAGATGGTGCTTTAAATGGGAGCTTCTCCGCTGTATGGCGGGCTTTTTCCTCATCTGGTGGCTGAAGACTCCGACGCTGCTCGGCTAGCTGCTTCAGGCTTAGACCTCGCTCGATACGCCAGGATTTCACAGAGATGCACCTTTAAGTTTATCTGAGTTGATGTCTTTTATTTTTACATCCAACATCTGCACACATACACACCTACAACACATCCCAGCACTTACTTTACACTGCTGATGCTGACATTCATATCCCATGATTAATTACGTTGTTTGTATTTGCGTTCGATACACAATAAATTTATGTTTGGCACAATTTGTTTATGGCATGGTCTCCCATTGATTGTTATGGCCTGGAGTCAGTCATAACACTCCGTCAGATGGAGACTGAGTTAATGTCACGTTGAGTTGGTTTGTGTTTTTAGCACAGGCGTAATTAAAGCACAGATCACTTACCATAGTGGTCTCCGTCACCGAGCCGAAGCTGTTGATGAAGATGTTGCATGTGACGTTCACAGGTGGACCTGCAGAAACGTGAGTTAAAAACCACAGAAGCGAACCCATAGGTCACCATTCATGACATATACAACCATTCAAAACTAATCTTAAATACAGTAAAAATTGTGAAATATTATTATAATGTAAATCATCAGTTTTCTATGTGAATATATAATAAAGTGTAATTTATTCCTGTGATTTTCAGCATCATTACTCCAGTCTTCAGTGTCACATGATCCTCCAGAAATCACTCTAATATGAGGATCAATTTAACTAAAATCATACAAATCAGTTGTCAATTTTATTATTTAACTCTATTCTGTGCTTCACTATTTCTTTAATCTTCTGAACGGTTTGTTTTTGAGGCGTTTGGCCTCTTTAATCAATAACTCTCGTTTGTAAGATCAAAGCTTCTGATAAACAAATCAATGGAAATATTGCTCTGAATGATTTTTATTAAACCGTTTGAACGTTTTTTTTCTCAATCAGAAGACAAGAGAACAACCATTCAAGTTTAATGCAATAAAACAGTAAATATCCACTGAAAAATGATGATATGAACAGATTCAGACTGACTGTAAAGTTATTATTGGAAAATACTAGTTTTTCTACATAATTTCACATTTAATTCAAAGTGTTTCTTGCTGTTTTTTTTTTTTAAAGTGACAGTTGTTTCTACACTAAACTGTTTTCAGTGAATATCTAATTTCGGAGTAGATCATAACCTGTCATTCTTGTTGAATATCATGAAAGGAGTTTATTAGAGTACTCCAGGCGCCGGTGACTATAAATAGTCCATTAGATGCGCTCTGAGGTTTCTGAACCTCGTCAATGTTGTGCGTTTTAATCACTCAAACATCCGTCTGTGCCAGAATACCTGAGCAGAAGCACATCATTCTGCTTTAATAGATACAAATAATTGTGTGTATCCAATATCCATTGTATCTTGAGTTTCTTCTGAGTTTGAACACGTCACAATATTCCTCATTATAATAATTAATGCGCAGAATAAAGGGGCGGGGCCTGGGTGAGTGAGTTAGTAGTGTGTTAAACTGGCGGTTATGGAAAGGGGCGGGACATTTCCCAAACACACTCAATCGCAACACACCGCTCCAGCCGACCAATCAGAGCTCAGTGTGCTTTCAGGAGGAGGGGCTTCACAGAGACAGGAACCAATCAGGGGTGCGTTTCTCGCCGTAACTCGCTGGTTCACTAAGAAATCCACTCGTCGCGACTGTTTCCCGAAACCATACTGTCCGAATCGGTCGTTAATGATGTCACACGTTTGGAATAATAATACTGTTAATGAATCTGTTTGAGATCGCATTAACGCTGAGTGTTTTGCTATAAATTACACACACGTCATCTGAGGAATATTTCTAATTTTTCTCAGTTATTTCGCTTTGTTTCCAGATTCACTCATAGACTCGTTTACACATGCGCACTCTTCAAACACACACACTCTCGACAAACTAAAAGACGTAAATGACATTTGTGTGTATTGTAAATATAAGATATAGATTGTTAATTCTGCTCACGATCAGATTTATTGAGTCCACGTGTCATGAAAACACGAAACTCTTCATCTAACCGAAGAGATCTGTCGCTCACACACACACCTCTGCGACGCAGTTTGTGTATGTTCGTCAGAACTATGGTTTTAGGAAACACCGACTCGTTGAACTGCTGATAACGACACACTTAACGACTATAGTTAACGATGATTACGAGAAACTCTAAGCGTTACTGACAGACTGCCGCAACAATGGAGAATATGAGGAGAATAATCAACATTCGTGCAGGAAAACCTGTTCTAGAGCTTAAAAACAGCATCAAGATTATATGGCCTCTTTAAATAATACATCAGAAGAAGTCCACTGTGTTCTTCAGCCTGTCCTTCGGTCTGACAGGCACCAAAAACATCTTATACTGCGACCCAAGTACCATCAGCTTCCAGTAGCCGCTCAATATTGCATGCGCAGATGAATGGGGGATATATACGGATACTTCAATCATTTATGCTGTGTTTGGACACACTTTACAATAAGGTTTCATTAATGAACACTAATTTTAACATGGACTAACCCAGGTGAGAAAGACATACAATTAAGTGTATTAAAAATGCATTACATTATATTTGTATTGAACTAAAAACATATTGAAATACATTTTTAATACACTTAATTGTACGTCTTTTTCACCAGGGAATGCAGGAGTGTCCAAGTGAAATTCACCTCTTCACCCTTTATACAAATATCATTATAGATTATGTTGTCATATTGTGTAGTTTTTCTTGTTTTATTAGTGATAATACGGCAATGAAACGTGACAAATTGTGCAAAATTTATTTTTGTCCTGGCAAAGAAATTATGAACACATGTTTATCATTGTAAAATAAACATTTATCTGTAGTTTGACTAATAATTTTGTTAGATAAATACCAAGTTTAGTGTGTTTTTTCCTCATAATTAAAATATTTTAAAAAATCAGATGTTTACCATTTATTTTGAAGGTTTGATCAAACTTGTTGAGTCATTAAATATCCTAAATGCTTTAAAAAATGTTATTTCTATAACATCTATGATATAAACTAGACCTTTTTTGTGGGGTTTCCGTTTAAAACAAATGAAAAGTGAATCTGTTAATAATCTGTCCCGGTCATATTTCACTCAAAACTAATCGATTATATTTTGCTTAATGAAAGGAAGCCTTTAGATTACTTTTTTTTTGCATTGTGACATTAATTTTAGTCAATTATGCACATTTTATCCAAAATTCTTGTTGCTGTATTGAACAAAAAAAATCTGTGTAATATGAAAAAAAAAAATACATTATGGTTGTATTTGATGCACTAAACAAAGTATAAAAGTGTTCACTTAAAAGTTTATTTTTTACCAACATTGAACATTCTTTAAAAAATTCTTCTTTTGTGTTTCACAGAAATTAATCACAGCATATGGATGTGGAGTGACGTCATGAGGGTGAGTAAATAATTCATTATGTATTTCTATCTATCACTATTGTTCAGTCAAGTATTTATGTTTCATTTTTTATTCATCAAGGATGCATTACACTGATCAAAAGTGGCAGTAAAGACATTTATAATGTTACAAAAGATTCTGAAATGAAATGTCCATTGAATGAAAATAAAAATCCTTTTTAAATTATGAAAAATATGAATTGTTTTCAACACTGATGATAATCATAAATGTTTGTTGATCATCAGATCCTCATATTAGAGTGATTTCTGAAGGATCATGCGACACTGAAGACTGGAGTAATGATGATAAATTCATAATACATAATAATTGCGTAGTAACTCAGTCCGAAACTCTTGATGTCTGAAAGCATTATCAGAATGTTTGACTGATTCACATTCAGGAGATTGTAAACCAGAACTGAACCTGCCTTTGAAGTTGGGTCGAATCCGCGCATCATATCCCGACGTTCGGCCCATCAGTTTGTCCAGGAAATCTGAGGGCGACATCGAAGATGGAGATTCCAGAGCGAACAGTCTCTCGTTCTCTTGCCCTGCCGTTATCCTGAGACAGGAGTGAGTAAACATCAGTAAACATTCACTAAACATCAATAAACATCAGTAAACATTCAATAAACATCAGTAAACATTCACTAAACATCAGTAAACATTCACTAAACATCAATAAACATCAGTAAACATCAATAAACATCAGTAAACATTCAAAAACATCAGTAAACATTCACTAAACATCAGTAAACATTCACTAAACATCAGTAAACATCAATAAACATCAATAAACATCAGTAAACATTCAATAAACATCAGTAAACATTCGCTAAACATCAGTAAACATTCACTAAACATCAGTAAACATTCAATAAACATCAATAAACATCAGTAAACATTCAATAAACATCAGTAAACATTCACTAAACATCAGTAAACATTCACTAAACATCAATAAACATTCACTAAACATTCACTAAACATCAGTAAACATTCACTAAACATCAGTAAACATTAAACATCAATAAACATTCACTAAACATCAGTAAACATTCACTAAACATTCACTAAACATCAGTAAACATTCACTAAACATCAATAAACATTCACTAAACATCAGTAAACATTCACTAAACATTCACTAAACATCAATAAACATTCACTAAACATCAGTAAACATTCACTAAACATTCACTAAACATCAATAAACATTCACTAAACATTCACTAAACATCAGTAAACATTCACTAAACATCAATAAACATTCACTAAACATCAGTAAACATTCACTAAACATTCACTAAACATCAGTAAACATTCACTAAACATCAGTAAACATTCACTAAACATCAGTAAACATTCACTAAACATCAGTAAACATCAGTAAACATCAGTAAACATTCACTAAACATCAGTAAACATTCACTAAACATAAATAAACATTCAGTAAACATCAATAAACATCAGCAAACATTCACTAAACATCAATAAACATCAGTAAACATTCACTAAACATCAGTAAACATTCACTAAACATCAGTAAACATTCACTAAACATCAATAAACATTCAGTAAACATTCACTAAACATCAATAAACATCAGCAAACATTCACTAAACATCAATAAACATCAGTAAACATTCACTAAACATCAATAAACATCAATAAACATCAGTAAACATCAGTAAACATTCACTAAACATCAATAAACATCAGTAAACATTCACTAAACATCAATAAACATCAGCAAACATTCACTAAACATCAATAAACATCAGTAAACATTCACTAAACATCAATAAACATTCAGTAAAGATCAATAGACATCAGTAAACATTCACTAAACATCAGTAAACATTCACTAAACATCAATAAACATTCAGTAAACATCAGTAAACATTCACTAAACGTCAATAAACATCAGTAAACATTCACTAAACATCAATAAACATTCAGTAAACATCAATAAACATCAGCAAACATTCACTAAACATCAATAAACATCAGTAAACAATCACTAAACATCAATAAACATTCACTAAACATCAATAAACATCAGTAAACATTCACTAAACATCAGTAAACATTCACTAAACATCAATAAACATCAATAAACATTCACTAAACATCAGTAAACATCAGTAAACATTCACTAAACATCAATAAACATTCACTAAACATCAATAAACATCAATAAACATTCACTAAACATCAGTAAACATTCAGTAAACATCAGTAAACATTCACTAAACATCAATAAACATCAGTAAACATTCACTAAACATCAATAAACATCAATAAACATCAATAAACATTCACTAAACATCAGTAAACATCAGTAAACATTCACTAAACATCAATAAACATTCACTAAACATCAATAAACATCAATAAACATTCACTAAACATCAGTAAACATTCAGTAAACATCAGTAAACATTCACTAAACGTCAATAAACATCAGTAAACATTCACTAAACATCAATAAACATTCAGTAAAGATCAATAGACATCAGTAAACATTCACTAAACATCAGTAAACATTCACTAAACATCAATAAACATTCAGTAAACATCAGTAAACATTCAGTAAACATCAGTAAACATTCAGTAAACATCAGTAAACATCAGTAAACATTCACTAAACATCAATAAACATCAGTAAACATTCACTAAACATCAATAAACATCAGTAAACATTCACTAAACATCAATAAACATCAGTAAACATCAATAAACATCAATAAACATTCACTAAACATCAATAAACATCAGTAAACATCAATAAACATCAATAAACATCAGTAAACATTCACTAAACATCAGTAAACATTCACTAAACATCAGTAAACATCAATAAACATCAGTAAACATTCACTAAACATCAGTAAACATCAGTAAACATTCACTAAACATCAATAAACATCAGTAAACATCAATAAACATTCACTAAACATCAGTAAACATTCACTAAACATCAATAAACATCAATAAACATTCACTAAACATCAATAAACATCAGTAAACATCAATAAACATCAGTAAACATCAATAAACATCAATAAACATCAGTAAACATTCACTAAACATCAGTAAACATTCACTAAACATCAAGAAAAAATTCACTAAACATCAGTAAACATCAGTAAACATTCACTAAACATCAATAAACATCAGTAAGCATCAATAAACATCAATAAACATTCACTAAACATCAATAAACATTCATAAAACATTGATAAACATCAGTAAACATGCTAAACATGGGGGGGCTATAGGGGCTAGTTGTCACAGCGGGGCTAGTTGTCACAGCGGGGCTAGTTGTCACACTTTCACTAAATATTTTTTAGGGAAGGTGTATTGTTGAAAGTCAGTTTCTGTTTTGACAAACATACATACAAATTTCCACCATTGTTGTTGTCCAGGAGAATAAGAAACAGGCATTTAACAAACACTGACCCTCACAGTGGGGCATGTTGTCACACTATTCACACACACTATTCACACACACTATTCACATACACATTTATTCTGCTCTCCTCACTCACATAAATGAACTATAGTGTCCTGATCACACTAGTGGAAACATATCAAAAATGATATCTGGTGTGTCAGAATAATGTTTGGTTTGACTCTAAAAGCTGATGCCATAGAAGAACCTTTTCTGGTTCCATAAAGAACCTTTAATTGAATAGTACTGATTTCCCCTACATTTAAATAATCTAAAGAACCCTTTAATTCCCCACTATAAAGATCCTGCCGTGCGATTGAAAGGTTCTTCACAGAATAATCAACATCAAACTATTTCAAAAAGCATAAGGTGGAAAATTATAATCTCAAAGAAAATATAAAAAAGTCCAGTCAAACCAGTGCTTACTTTCTCTAGCGGTGCTTTTGTATGGTTTCAAACATATTTCAAAGCAAATTGTAATTATTTTTGTTAATTCTGCATCATATTTTTGTAATATATGTTGGTTAATAAGTAAAAAAAAAATAAAACTACATTCAGTAACATTAATAAACAATAATGATTCCTCCACGTTGAGCTGATGATGTTTTGCTGAAGTGTGATTTCTAAACTATAGCGAATAAACTGTGATAATGTGAGAAATGATAAATACATTTTTGGATTGCCTGATTATGATAAGACCTGTGACAACTAGCCCCGGCCTCCTTTAACATCGCAGAAACAGAATGGAATCTTCATTTCTGGATGTAACAGTAACTTCCGATTCTTCTTTGATGTTTTCTTTGACGTTCTAATTTTCATGCGAGCATTCTTTAATTGCCATGGCAACGCACGTCAGCATCCGCGCACAAGAGAACGAGCCGAAACGCTCTAATAAACGATATGCATACTAATATATGACTAATACATAACCTAATATATGACTGATGTTGCTTTAACAGTCGCGTCTGAAGTACATACCTGAAGTTGAGCATTCCTATTAAACACGCGAGTAAAGTTGAGAGGAGTTTCCCAGAAGGGCGAGTCATTCCCGAACACCCGTCGTGTCGTCTCTCGAACTAAAGCACAGTTTTCCTCAGGTGAACCCAGAACCACTTCAGCGCAGGTTCTCATGGTTTATCCGACACCGAGACGCACCGCGTCCGCGAACAAACCCGCAAAGCTCCTAAAATCATTCCGCGCTTGAAGGAAACACCGTTAGAGATGACAAGAGAAATCCAGCTTGTGATGAAACGGTGTGTGTGTGTGTGTCACAGGCGCGCGCGGGGTTCAGCACTCGGGCAGCTCCGCGCTTCGGTCTGCGCATGCGCAACTGTTTCAAAGTGGTGGATCGTGAGTGGATTTTGTTCAGGGAGGAACATTGAAATATTATAAGGGTACGAATTATGGAGGGTGTCGTTCAAAGCCTGAACCAGGATCTTCATATAGAAGAGATTTACTCTGGTCGTGTCATAGCCTATATCCGAGCGAAACGCATCGGCGACGCGAACAAGAATAAATGTAGGCGGGGCTTGATTGTGTCTGTGGGGAATTGATTGGATGATTGAATGCTTGTGGTTTGCTATTGGTGGATCTCATGTGAGTGACAGGTTGCCCCGCCCTCGTCATCAGAGAAGAGATGTCACTGTTATTCTGATTCAAGATTATTAACACAATAATGATGTGCAAATCATTTAGAGTAAAAACTGCAATAATCCATAAAAAAAAACACAAAATGTTCAATTTTATTTGAGTTACTCAGTAATTCGCACACTGCATGATTCGGTTCACTTATACATATATTTTTGCACATAAAAATTTATAAACATTATAAATTCTCTATTTGCAGGTAAAGTAGGCTGGTCAAAAAAGAAAGAATATTGTGCTCAACCTCCATATTTCATTATTATTTTCTTCTTCCTTTTTTATACCTCAAATTAAAAAGGAAATAAACAATAGGCTCACCAGCACACACCTCTTGGGAATTTAGCGGGAACCCAGGTTGCCTTGGAAACAGATTCACTTAGCACATGATTGCAAATGCTAAAAGGTTGAGCTTGTTGCTGAGTGACAGCCGGGTCACGCCTGTGACTGACAGCATCACATCAGCGCCGCCGAGTCTCGCCTCAGTTCTGTCATAGACACCCGTTATATCCCAGATATCCCAGCATATAAGCACAGTTATGAAATCTGGAGATGGATTTACTACATTTTTATCTCATGTTATTTTTGTTTGTTTGTTTTAATTGACACTGTATTTCTGTTTGTTAACCTTAACCCACTGTTAGCTATATTACTTGGTGGAAGAATCGACTATTATCATTAATTATATTATACAATTATAAATTAATATGTCTTGTTTTATATCGTATTGCCGATTTTATATAAAATAAAGCATTTAGTTTGTGTTGTACAGAAGAACAGCCGCTAAAATCACATAATATGCAGCTTCTCGTGGCTTATTGCTTTAATAAATAATGTCAGATATTAAATATTTTCTCTCTCTCTCTCTCTCTCTCTCTCTCTCTCTCTCTCTCTCTGAGTATGAAGTTTCACACAAACGCCGCCACACTGAGAACATTTTGATGTAAATTAATTTTTTTTTAAATTAAGTTGGACCAACGTAAGAAAAACTAGTTTGACGATTGTAATAAAGTTAAACATAGAAAATGAATGTGACCTGAACCGAATAAATTGTTGACCCCACTAATTTTGCGTAAAATCTTTCTTCACTCAAATGAAGAGTACTTTTTTTGTGTGTGTGAATGTTAAGAAACCTTTCATTTTATCATTTTGCAAACAAAGTTACTTTTTAATGTTTTTTGAACATCCCGAAACTAGTGGCAACATTTATAAAAAGCTCCATGAACGATGTATAAATGTTTTAACATTCTGAGAACAATTGTAATAAATTTAAACATATAGAGGAAGTGAATTTGACGTAAAACAAATAAATTGTGTTGACCCAACTAAACTAATTTATTTAAAACTGTGTCTAAAATCTCTCTTCAATCAAATTTAGGATAATGAATTCATTTTGTGAGTGTGAATGTTGATAAAACATTCTATTTTATAATTTTTTCAAACTCTCTGAAACAAAGTAACATTTAAAACAGTTCCACCAATGATGTATAACGTTTTAACAAGAACATTATTAAAGACCAGAAAACTGAAGCAACATTCTAATAATTTTACTGGAAGAATCATTGTTCATAACTTTGACAGAACCTTGACAGAAGATGAATCAGAATGTGTTATTAAACGGCTGCACATATAAATCATTATTCAGCAGCAATTATGAGACTTTCTGACTTATATTTTGTCAATTAGATGAACATTTGTCCATAACTTTGAGAGAACCTTGACTGAATCCGAATAAGATTGTGTTATTAAACCGCTGCTCTCTATGAAATCATTATTTCATTATGTGACTCTGACTCATATTGACTCCAGATTGTGTCAGTTTGATCAAATGAACTCTGTGATAAAGTACGAGACACTGACATCTGAGGCCGGAGCCGTTTAGTATCAGGTGATTTTCATTCTAGCCTCCAGTTTTCCACGAAGCTCGTAGGATATGATTTTTGTGTCGCTTCAGGCGGTGAATAATCTCAGTTGCTCTGACAGTCGCTGTCACTGCCGTCCAAACTCGTTTACTTCAGCAAACCCGCAAACTCTGTTCTCGTCTGTGTGTGTCAGTCGACGGATCATACGCTCTGTGTGTCAAAGCATTTGTCCATGACAACTTTACAATTCATCATTTCAGATCCACATGCTGTTTATTTTATCTGGAGTTTCTGAACCTTCATTTGTGGATGAACTCGCAGCTCACAGGAACATGTTTACATCATTTCCCATCAGCTGTTCATCTGGTCAGAAACCGCTGCCCGTTAAACTTATTGCACTGGATTGTACTTCTACTCGTCTGATCCAATTTTAGTCTTAAAAAACAAAACATTTTATTTAAAGACAGAATATTCTTTAAATGATTTTGTAATGTAATATTCCATCTCTTGTCATGAATAAGAAAGAAAGAAAGAAAGAAAGAGGAAAGAAGGATGCAACAAAAAAACGAAGAAAGAAAGAAAGAAAGAAAGAAAGAAAGCAAGAAAGAAAGAGGAAAGAAGGATGCAACAAAAAAACGAAGAAAGAAAGAAAGAGAAAGAAAGAAAGAAAGAAAGAAAGAAAGAAAGAGGAAGGAATGATGGAACAAGAAAGAAAGAAAGAAAGAAAGAAAGAAAGAAAGAAAGAAAGAAAGAAAGAAAGAAAGAAAGAAAGAAAGAAAGAAAGAAAGAGGAAGGAATGATGGAACAAAAAACGAAGAAAGAAAGAAAGAAAGAAAGAAAGAAAGAAAGAGGAAGGAATGATGGAACAAGAAAGAAAGAAAGAAAGAAAGAAAGAAAGAAAGAAAGAAAGAAAGAAAGAAAGAAAGAAAGAAAGAAAGAAAGAAAGAAAGAAAGAAAGAAAGAAAGAAAGAAAGAAAGAAGAAAGAAAGAAAGAAAGAAAGAAAGAAAGAAAGAAAGAGGAAGGAATGATGGAACAAAAAACGAAGAAAGAAAGAAAGAAAGAAAGAAAGAAAGAAAGAAAGAAAGAAAGAAAGAAAGAAAGAAAGAAAGAAAGAAAGAAAGAAAGAAAGAAAGAGGAAGGAATGATGGAACAAGAAAGAAAGAAAGAAAGAAAGAAAGAAAGAAAGAGGAAGGAATGATGGAACAAAAACAAAGAAAGAAAGAAAGAAAAAAGAAAGAAAGAAAGAAAGAAAGAGGAAGGAAGGATGGATGGAACAAAAACAAAGAAAGAAAGAAAGAATGAAAGAATGAAGGAAAAAGGAAGGAAAAGAACAAAAAAATAGAAGGAAGAAAGAAAGAGGAAGGAACAAAAAAGACAAGAAAGAAAGAAAGAAATAGTAAGGAATGAAAGAAGGAAAGGAACAAAAATGGAAGAAAGGAAAAAAGAAACTAAGAAAGAATCGAAGGAAGAACAGAAGAAGGAAGAAAGAAAGAATATTCTTTGATATATTGTACTGTAAATGTTTTAAGGTTCTGTCGTGTTCTTCCTTCTGAACGCTGTAGATCGTCATAAGATCCTCAAGGCCAGACCTGTTGCTGCTCAAGATTATGAAATATCAAAACCGAATAACAGAGCGAGGGTCATTAAATCCTGCCAGCGGTGACCTTTGCCCTGTGACGAGGGTAATTACACTAGTAGAGAGACTGATATAATAGAGCGCTGGACAGAGAACGGCCTTTATATATTCTTGGTCATTAAAGTGAGCTGGAGCTGTCGTGATGTGAGAGTTTGAGGCGGTAATGAAGATCAGGTCAGGTCTCTATCCCTCCATCAGCTGCAGGATAGCAGAATAAAAGTCCTTCTGCGTTAAAATTACGCCTCTTTTCTTCTGTGAATAAAGTCAAACCGCTTCTGGAACAAGAACAAATACAGTAAAACAATATACTTTTCAAATCTAAAAAGATGGTGTTCATTTACCGACCTATTAAAGTACTCATATCTGTTTTGTTCTATTGTAACTGATAACCACCAATCACAGCGGAGATGAGAGTCACATGACCAATCACATCTCATCACGATCAGCTTTTCCACAAGAATGTTAATATTAATGGGCTATGTGCTGTTGTAGAGTGAGTTTTTGTAGATTAACCTGTAGGGGGCAATCTAATGTATTTTGGCTTTGTGCTTAAGAGTAGCAAAGAAGAAACTGTTAGCAGACATGTGTTCCACCTGGACTGTGCTCAAGTGTACTGCTGGCTTGATGTGCTTTGAGTAAATGAACTGCATTGAACGGATTTGTCTCCTGCAAGTTATTACATTTTGGCGACGAGGATGAAAGCAAGGAAAGAAACGCCTTGAAGAAAAAAAAAAGTGTTGGAAGGTGAATAAGTTTATTCCATACAAGTTGGAGCTTGGGAAAAGAAGATGGCCAACATGGTAGGAACAGTCTCACCTTTTGATAGTCAATCTCAGTCTTGGGAGGAATATTGTGAGATCTTGCAGCATTTCTTCGAGGCAAATGAAATTACAGAAGCAGACAAACAAAGGGCTATATTGTTGAGCACTGTAGGAAGTCAAACATACAGTCTACTGAGGAATTTGCTGAGCCCAGTTAAACCAGGAACAAAGACATTTGGGGAATTAGTAGAATTGCTTAAAGAGCACTTCAACCCAAAACCTAGTGAAATTGTGCAACGGTTTAAATTCAATTCAAGGTCAAGAGAAGAGGGGGAAACTGTACTTGAATATGTAGCAGTATTGAGGAAATTGGCTCATGATTGTAACTATGGAGAAAAGTTGACAGAAAAGCTTCGGGATAGACTGGTATGTGGCATAAATGATGATCGGATTCAACGTAGACTGTTGGCAGAAGCGGATCTAACTTTTGAAAAGGCTTTGAAAGTAGCTCAAGCAATGGAAACGGCCAATAAGGATGTAAGG